TGGATCACTTTAAAGAAGCAGTGGGGGAAGACACACCCTTCTGTGGTCCCAAACATATCAGGGACAGAGCAGTCAAGATCTGGTGAACGTTACTGTGTTTTCCCTAAACACATGTCGCATACTCCTGCAGACTTGGACCATGCAGCCTCTCCCACACCTGTGGCCTATTTTGGGGTCAGTCCTCCCTAGGGGGCATGGGGGAGGGTTCCACCTTTCCCCTCAACAATTCGGTTGTCCTTTTCTGATTATTCCCTACTCCCATGCCATCTTCCTTCTGGCACTGATGCCCAATGGCCCTTTCCTACAAAGGGACTGGTGTGTGATCTGGCTATACAGAATTCCTGCAGATTCTACCAAGAAGGAAAGATGGCCAGGATGGAGACAGATCTGCCCTTCGATTTCCAGCCCAGAGGCTCATTAACTAAGATTGGGCACCAGGTGACCACGTGTTCACCCCTGATGACTCATGGCCACTGTCTAGCTAAAGTCTGGGGTGAAAGGAGGGATGTTATCTGTATCTGTGGAAGGATTATCAAACTGATGAAATCACAGATTTCTGAGAATCTTTAGAGGTAAAGGACACAGGAAATCGTTTTTAAACTAATAAAATATAACCAGATGGAGGCTGCAAAGACAGGGAATGACAGGAAGAAACAGAAGCAAAGGTGTAGTAGAGAACAGAGAAGGCTGCAGAAGGAGGAGCCAGAGGCAGAGCTGGGGGACGGGCTAGGTGCCTTCTGGAAGCAGGCCATGGGATGGTGGCTTGGGGCAGCTCGGAGGCAGGACTGTTGGGAGGGTTCTGTGTCACCCCATGTTGGATGGGGGAAGGAGGGGAGAAGAGCCCGCCCTGGGACAGTGGCTGCAGCTCAATACCGGGTCACTAAAGGCAGCCTTTGGGTGTCAGGGATGAGAGCAAGGGTCCTCATGAAAGCCCAGGTCACCCCATCTCACTCCCCCTCACATGACTCTCAAGTCTTCGGGCCTTGCACTGGACTGCTGGGTCTCCCTGCCTGACCTCTGACCTCTCCAGCCCAGCCTTCGCCCATTGGCTCAACTGTATCTGTAAGGCCCAGGCATGGCCACGTCATTCCCTGCCCCACTCAAGAAGCTCCCTAGTGTCTCTGGGATAAATGCCAACCAGTGACTCCCAACAGCCCTGGGATGTAGGTGCTATTATTCTCCTCGTTTTACAGCTGAGGAAACTGAGGCAGGGGTGACCAGGGTCACACAGGGAGTAAGTGTCTGAGGCTGGATTGGAACTCAGGACTTCCTGCCTGCAGGCCTGATGCTCTGTCTACTGAGTCATCAGAGCTGCCTCGTGTTTCAGCCTTTAAGGTCTAGGTTGAACCCCCTTCCCAGGAGGCCTGTGAGGTATCGCCCCCTTCAAGCCCTCCTGGCCTGCTGGATGGTCCTGAACTCAGCACCCTCCAATTGCATCTGCTGGGCCTTGGGCAGCCAGGTAGCCCTGGCCTGGAAAGGCTGCCTCCTCACCATGGCCCTGGGAACCCTCCTTCAAGGGCCTTTGCCGACTCCCCCCGTGGCTCCTCAGGGGAAGTTTGTACTTATTTTGCATATATTTGCATTTGCTGATCTCCTCCTACTGTCCCGCCCCTGAAAATATAAGCTTCTTCAGGGCAGACACTGTCTTGGGTTCGTGCTTGCAATCCACAGAGTTGTTTCTTTGATTAGGAGGAAAAAAACAAAACACTTGGCTGAGAACTGGGTTGGGAACATATACTGAGAAGAGAGAGATATAGGGGAGGAGAGAGGGAAGAGAAGAGAGAGACAAAGGGGAGAGAAGGGAGAGAGAAAGAGACAGGGAGGAGAGAGCAGAGAGACAGACAGGAGAGATAGAGGGGAGAGACAGAGGGGAGAAAAGGAAAAGAGACAGGGGAAGAGACAAAGGGGAGAAAAGGGAAAGAGATAGAGAAGAGAGAGAGAGAGAGAGAGGGAGGAGAAAGGAAAGAGACAGAAGGGAGAGACAGAGAGGAGAGACAGAGGGGAGAAAAGGGAGAGAGAGCTGCCATGTTCTGGAATCGAACACCTAGACTTTACCCAGTAGCACAAGGCTCCATTAAGGGCAGGGGTGCTCCTTTCTGTCTCTTCCAGCAGCCGGCATCGCAGCCAGGCAGGACAGGCCCAGGAGCTGACACTATAGTCGTACTGCTACCAGGAGGGTCACTTAGAGCCCCCACAGCCAGAAAATGTCAGAGGCAGGACCTAAATCCGTGTCCTTCTGGCTCTGAGGCCAGGTCTCCAACCACTAGGTCACACTGCTGTTCAATAAAAAAAATACACTTGCTTGAAATGAAATATAGGATCAAATTAGGATTTAAACCCTAAATCAATGACCAATTCTTTCAGGTGAAATTGAATCAAAAAATTAAAGAAATAATAGATTTTTTCTTCCTTTTTGGAAAATGTCAGAGAAATGCCAATATACGTATAGATGTACACACACACATACAGACACATACACCCACATCTGTATACAGGGGTTTCTGTTATGAAAGCATAAGCTTAAGTAAACTGCATGCAAGCCAAGGAAATTACTTCATTTCTTTGGCTATCAGGGCATCTCAATACGGCTGGAGAGTGTTCCCAACTATTCTGAAGTTACCCTGAGAGTGTCTTCTGGGGACGTTTTAGGAAAGGGGGAATGAAGTCCTTCATGGTATATGTCAGGGCCACTCAACTTGGCGCCCCATTCAGGCTGGATTATTTAAACCAAGAATAAATGGATATATTTTCTTGGAAAAATATCTATTGTTACAGCAAAAACGTGGGTTTCCTTTTTCACAAGATCACATGATTACTCGCTTCTATTTTCTTTCCGCAGGAATTCCCACGCCCCCCGTTGGCATCCTGTTATTCACTCGGAGCTTCCCTTCCCTCCCGGCGGCGGCTGGCTTGGCCATCGCAGACTGGCCACACCACGCTCCTCTCCAACACTGTCCAGGTAAAGGGCGCTCCAGTCACAGGCTGTAACTTCCCCTTGGGACAGTGACCTCCGAGCTTTAAAATTACAGATGCGGGCAGACTTTGTTTCGCCTTCTCATTTTCCACCTAGTTTTGTCTCCCTGAGAAGAGACTTTGCAAGAATTTGTATGTGTGGTAAAGCAAAGTGAGACACTGACTCGTGGCAGCACTGCCGAGCAGGTAGACTGAGTGTGATCATCCCTATTTAACAGCCGAGGGCACTGAGGCTCCAAGAGGGTGACTGGCCTAGAGTCCCACAGCCAGTCCCTGGGGTCTCCTGTCACCTTGTCTTCTGTGGGACTGAATGGCTAGCAGGCAGCAGAAGTCATACACAGCCCCCCACGGATGCGCCCCTGGGTGCCCAGTCTTCCAGAAGCAATGACCACGAGAGGCCTTATCACAGAAGGGTTGAGCTTCAATCTCTCCCATATACATGCACTTCTTACATATAGAAATTATGAAGCAGATGTGTTTGTAAAACTTGGGGAGAAAAAAACAAGACCAAAAGAGGAGCACAACTTGGGGGCAGGGACGCGTCTTGATGGATGAAGCTGTCCCAGCGCTGCTTGCTCAGGGTCACGTGCCGGCCTGTGTCTGAGACCTCCCCGAGGCTGCTGCCTCTGAGGCCGGCTCCGGTCTCAGCCTCCCTAAACAACACCCACCATCAACCCCCCAAATAAGGAACTATGAGCATTTTGTAAGATTCCCCAAACATCCCTGAAACAAAGTAATGGCGAGAAAGGACAGAAACTCTTCACATGTTTAGGTGAGAAGTCAAACTGATTCAGTTCTAGGTAAAGTCTATCTGGTCCTTGAGTCAGAAACACGTATCGCTGCAAATTTTAATCTACTACTTCTACGTTACAATGGAAGCATTTTCAAAGATGTTTCAGTCTTCACAAATGCATAATTTACCCCATCTTTGCAAGAGAGTTACGGAGGCTAAGTGACCGCGGTGCACTGCGGACCCCGCTAAGCATCTTGACCCTCTGAGGCTGCTTTATTGTGAGCTCAGGGGTGAAGAGGCAGCTGAGCCCTGGCCATTCCCAGCAGGCATCCCCTGAGGTCCTGGGAGCACAGGCCAGTGGGCAGGAAACCAACAGAGGAAAACCACAGCCGAATGAGTGAGGAACAGAGACCAGAGTCTTGTAACTCCTGGTTATGGGCAGTTATAAGATCACACATACAGACATACATACACACAGATATACATATGTATGTTTGTGTATCCATTATCTACTTTACTTAATTAATGATATAGTCAGGTTTAAGGTATGCAAAGCATACACGATCTCATTTGAACTTCCTAACAAACCTGTAAGCTAAGTGCTATTACTATACCCATTTTATAGATAAAGAAACTGAGGCTGACTGAAGTTAAGTGACTTGCCCAGGGTCACACAGCTAGTAGGTATTTGAGAATGGATTCAAACCCAAGTCTCCCTGACTCGTATATTCTATCCACTATGTCCCATAGCCTCACCAAAACAAGAAAACAAAAGCCACGGTCAACGCTAGAAGAAATCAGGTAGCCACAGTGTTCGATGAAAAATAAATGAGTGAAAATCCACCTGAACACACTTTTGCAACTCTGACAGTAATGTAGTCAAGGTAATCTATACATCTGTGTATATCTATATGTGGAGATGGATGGGAGGAGAGAATTGTATGAAAAGAAAGACTTGAACAAGCTGGAGGGGAGAAAAAGGCTGAGGGGGATCAGGAATATTCATGAAGTTAATATTACTTTCAAATCTATTATTTTCAAAGGCTCATTGACAGATTTCATTTAAGTGGTGACATCTGGTTTGATGAATGAAACTGGAAAATTGCTTTTTAAAGCCAATATGTATTTGGCTTTGCCGCCACACTTTAACTAGAGAATAATAACTTGAGATTTTACTCACACATGGCTAATTTTTAAAAAATGTTAAATGCCCAAACAGACGCAATGCACACACTGGGCTCATTTTCCTTTACTTCACAAGCAAGCTCAGAGCAGTGACATCCTGCTGTCTCACCATCAAAGAAGCTCTTGGCTCTCAGGTAGCTGACGCTGAGTCTGAGCACGGACAGTTTGTCCAGCTTGGAGATGACGTCTTGGGGGAAGGGCAGCAGGCTGGCCAGCCGGTCCAGCTCCGTGTTCAGCCGGTCGCGGTGTCTCTTGGACGGGTTGGACTTGACTCCTTCCAATGGTGCTGGCTTTACTCTGGAGGGGAAACACACACGTGTCTTAGAAAACAACAAGCCATCACACACGTCCATGAGTGTTCCTTCTGAAGCTTTCCATTACAATTCCTGCTGAGATAGTTTTCTCAGGCACAATTAAACTATTAGCTGACTCTTCCCAACCATAAATATACTTTTTTTAAAAAAGAAAGTGAGTGGAAAATAAAATTAATTGGAACTATGTGTAAAAATGTTTAAGTATGCATCATGGCTTTTAAAAATGGCCATTGATTGAACAGCGACCCATAATTAAGGAGTTTGCTGAGAACAAAATTCCTCTTTCAAATGATCGTCTGTGAGAGGAGCAAAGCCACCCACGCACACGAGCATGTGCACGGCTGGTCGGCCTCGTGGAGGCTGGGAGTAAGGCTTCTCTCTGTTACCCTGCAGATGACCCAGCACACAAATGCCTTCTTCAGCTTGTTTTTCCCTTCCGTGTGCACTTTATCATGTACTGCTGCCCTGCTTTTGGACTTCCCTGGACTCTCCACCATGCCTTCATTTCCCAGGAAGCTCATTACTGGGGAGTCTCATTATGCCACAAGACCGACTCTGCCCAGTTCTCCCCTGTCCTCGGCCTCCACTTAAAGAGGGGCTCAGCGTAGTGATTTCCCACCAGCCTCTGCTTTGGGTCTCTCTGATAAGCCCCGTGCTGGGTACCATCTACTCCCCCCACCCCGACCCCCCGCCCTAGTTTGTTAAGGACTAAGGAAGAAAGGGCTTTTCCATTGGCCTTGCAGCTGAAACCCTGCACATGTGCTGTCTGCCCATCAGAAGGGGAGCTCTCTGAGGGCAGGGCCTGTCTGACTCGGATGGACATTTTCTCATCTGAGTGTCCCCACAGCCCTAGGAGAAAACACTGCAGCTAGCATCCCAATTTTACAGGTAAGGAAACTGAGGCTCAGTGATCTGACAGAATGGTAGACAAGATGCTCAAGGCTGACTGTGGAGGTCATCTGCCTCAACCCTCTTGGATTTCACAGTGTAGGAAACTGAGGCCCAGCAAGGCAACACTATCACCCAAGGTCACACATGGCAGATGCTAGAATCAGGACTGGAATCCAAGACCATAGCACCGTCTGCCTTGCACCTCACGTTCTCCCTGAGCTGTGGGGGAGGCATTTGAACCCAAGTTTCCCTAACTCCAGATGCAGGCCTCTTCCAACTACACTGTGCTGTGGCTCCCCTCCAAGAGGGATTACCAGCTTTTAAAATAATTCTGAAGATTAAATGACTGCATTAGAGAGAAGATGAAATGTAGCGATCAGCTTGGCATATCATCTAATCTTGCCTCCAGAACCGCCAGGCTGATTGCTGCAGACCCTGGGCGGTAGGTGCTGGCTTCCAGGTCCCCTCTCCTTGGCCAGTTCTCCCCGAGCTGCCCCAGGATCTGGCCAAAGCCCACATCTCAGCACGTCACTGGCCTGCATCTAGTACGACGTACAAGTCCCTGATGTCTTAAGCCCTTGACAAATGGACTCCAGGCTTAGGGCCCAGCATTTCCATTCCTGTACCGGATGGTTCAGCAACGGTGGCCTCCATCTCCAAGACTGTGAAGCCGTGGGGCTGCAGCGTGGATGTTCCACCTCCACCTTCAGTGATCAGCCCCTTGCCAGGGCCTCTGAGAGCATTCCTGAGCATCTCCTCCTTTCTCCTCCAATAACCACACCCAGAGGGGCTATTTAGCTGTACTGTCTCTTTGGGACAACATAAGCTCCCTCCTGCTGGGCATCCCCAGTGGCAAGCCCAGCGACTGGCATATAGAAGGCAGCCGGCCACTAGAGGTTTGTGGGACTGAATCCACAGATACCCCGACCATGAATCCCTGCAGTGCACCTGGAATGGCAGCCCTTGAGCAGTCCTTGAGTGCAAACCTCTGGTTTGGTGCTTTGCATTTGCTTGAGATAAAAGATGCTCACTGGTGATTTAAAGGGAATGGGAAGGAAGGTAAGAACAAGGAGAGCATGAGAAAGAGACAGGCTCTGCATGGCTCCTGAGCTCTCTGTAGCCTGCCACACTGTCAGCGCCCCTCTTCTCCATCACAGTCTCTCTCTCCTCGGGTTTCTGGGACACCCCGCTCCTTACCCCTGTTCTCCTCCCGCCAAGCTGACCTCCCCACTCTGGGTCTCCTTGACTACAGATCTCACCCTCTAACTGTGGGTGTGCCCGGCCCCCCGCACTCTGTCCTGGGCCCTCTCCTCTTCTCCCTCTAGACTGCGCCACTTGGGGATCTCAGCAGCTCCCATGGATTTGACAACCATCTCTACACTGAGGATCCTCAGATCTGCCTGTCCTGCCTCAGTCTCCCCGTGGCCCTCCAATCTCACATCTCCAGCGGCCTTTTAGACGTTCCCACAACTGCGCAGGGCACCACCACCCTCCCAATCTCTGGCTCGATGGAGGTGGCATTCTCGATTCCTCCCTACTTCTCACCGCCCAAATCCCACTTGGGGCCAAGGCCTATCAACTGTAACTCCACAACGTCTCTCCCACATGTCCCCTTCTCCTCTAATACCACCAGCACTCTGACGTGGGCCCTCAGCTTCATGTTACATGCTGACGATGGTGATGACAGCCAACACGTATGTACTGCTTACCGTGTGCCAGACGCCGTGCTACACGCTCTACAATTACTATCTCATTTAGTCTTCACAACAACTTTGGGAGGTGAGTACTATTATTATCCTCATTTTACAGATGAGGCAAACAGAGGTTAAATAACTCACCCAGGACCACACAGCTAGTAAGTGTGTGAGACTGGATTTGCACTCAGGTCTTCCTGGTTGCTGGTCCAGCCCTCCACCCTTTGTGCCACCTATCACCCAGAACTACCTGCTGGTGGGTCTCCTTGACAGACACCTCTTCCCCTCCGGCCCATCCTGCACTGTTGTCAAGGTTGATCTTTCTAAAGCCCACACGTGACCATATTATCTCCCTCCCTCCCCTCAGTAATCCCCCCATCCAAGACCCTTCTCCCCTGGAATATCAGCCTCCGACCTGTCACGTCTCCTTGCATCTTGCACCACCTCCAGGTGCTCTGAGGCCTCCTCCTCACCATCCCTCAAACCAAACACTCTCTCTCCTAGGTCCCCTGGGTGCTCTCTTCTGACCCGGACGCCTGCCCCACCTCCTCTTCATTCCAGGGCCTTCCCGCTCTTGATTACCTGTCTGTCCTGTCTAGAGCTCGTGCATCCACGTCATTCGCTGTGGAATGACAATTAGACCGGGGGCTCCTTGAGGGCAGAGCCCATCTTTGGCCTTTCTTTGGATTGCCAGCACTTAGCACAGTCCCTAACACATCGAGGGGTTACAAATGCTCCCTTGATCCATGTGACAGCCAGCATCCCAGCACCTCCTGAGGCAGGCCTTCGAGGGACAGACTTGGCATTTTTCCTCTTTTTCTTACGTAAGTAAAATTACCCTGAGTCACCTCTGGACAACATAAGACTATAAACTACAGGAGAGAAGTGGCATTTTTCTATAAACTCTGACTCTCATCTCAGAGGCCAAGTTCAACCCATCCACGAAGCCCAAGACACTCTGAATGTCAGAGAGTGGCATTATGGCACATCTGTTCAACATCAATGTTTAATGTACTGACATGTTAAGTGAGTAAAAGGAAAAGTCTTTATCTAAGTCTGTCTCTAACACGTAAAAAAGATGCCTATCCGTGTGTGCGTGCACGTGTGCGCACTGTGTGCGCATGCACATGTGCACACTGCATGTGTGAGCACTGCACAACTGTTTACATGTGCATGTGAACTCCTGCACTTCTCTTTTTTATGTCATCCCTGCTGCAGTATATGTAATGTCTCCAACACTCTGGTATAGACATCCCTCCTCTAAGCACTCCAGAGGAACCCTCTGCCATGTTGGGTGACCTCCATAGGAAGTATCTGAGAGAAAAAGGGACCAAGAGTCATAAAGGGTGAGAGAGCAGAGCCAGGTTGTGATCTACACCCCAGGAAGAAGTGACAAGACCACAGACTCACTGAAATGTGGATGGATGGATGGATGGATGGACAGACAGATGAATGAACGAATGGATGGATGGATGGGTGGATAGATGGGTGGATAGATGGATGGACAGATGGACAGGCAAATGGATGAACTGACAGATGGCTGAACAGATGGATGGATGGATGGATGAATGGATGGATGGATGGATGGAAGGACAAACAGACAAATGGATGAACCGACAGATGGATAGATAGATGGATGGATAGATGGATGGATGGATGGATGGATGGATGAATGGATGAATGGATGAACTGACAGATGGATGAACAGATGGATGGATGGTTGATAGACAAATGGAAACATGAAGTCACCAGGCATCCAAGGTACTTCTATTCAATGTGTAACTGGCTGCTTGGAAGCATTCACAGAGGCTTTCTTTAGCTTTCCTCCAACCCCAAATGATGCAGTACTTTACTACTCAAAGGCTCACAGCAGAATCTCAGTGAGGGTCCCTGCTTTAGACTTTTGAGAACTAAACTTCAATACAAACCTAGTGGAGATCACCCTTCTTGCTGAAAGAGTGAGTGAGTGAGGAGAAAGAGAGAAAAAGAAAGAGAGAGAGACAGAGAGAGAGAGAAGGAGAGGTAGAAGAAGAGTTGATCTCTGAAACAAGAAGATTTCATTCAGACAATTTTGGAAAAGTTACAGTTTTCAAAATTTTTCATAAAAGATACTATGAAAATGGTGAAAAAAATGTACTTTTTAACAAAAAAATCTGCCTATAAAAGAGAAGGGCAGAGTTCTAATCCCAGTCCTGCCCCAGCCAGATACCAATGTGCTGCCTTTGGACGTGTGACAAATCCTTTCAGCCTCCGTTTCCTCTTCTCCAAAATAAAGAAATAAATAACTAAAGCAATGGGACTTAGAAAGTGGACAAGTTCTCCCTTCCAGCTCTACCATCATCGAATCTAAGAAAGAAAGACTTTCCAGATATGGCTGCTGAGTCCTGTTTGCACTAAA